TACTCAGGGGCCTAGTGCTACGAAGACTGGGCGAGTCTCGACTTCGCCATTATAGAAACACTAACGCCAATTTTACTTCCTCTCTAAAACTCGGAGCTTTAGGTAAATCAAAAATGATTGAGATAGAATAGATTTCCGATTTTCGGAGACGTATAATAATATTTTAGGCTATTTCGTTGTGCTATTGCTCAAATTTAAAAGATCAATAAATAACAAAACTTACATTACCTCAATAAAATACGACAATTCCACACACCAGACAAGTTATTAACCAGTTGATTTCCAAAAAATAAATATTGGTAAGCACATTAAAATGCAATAGGACAATATGATCGGCCTGCAGTTGAATTTTCGAACAGAGAGCGCCTGGGATTTAAAAGTCATGTGATTGGTGTGAACGTGTGTGATTGGTTTAAATTTGGAGAAGTGTGAATACAACAAACAACCTTTTTGCTGATCGAGTTATTTTCCGAATGATACTGATGCATAATTGGAAATATCAAAGAATAAACATATCCACCAATTGTACTTTTTTGTCATTGATACCGCTAATATCACTACTTCAATAGAATGTATCACTAATATACACCCTTTTCTCAAGAAAAATCTAGTTTCGAAGCTATTGCTAAAATACGTGAATATTTATATCTGAATATGAAAACACTAGTAGTTGGTGCGAATTCTGAATATATGCTTGGAGGTTTCCTGCTTGCGTAGCAATGGTAGAAGTGGAATTTGACATCGTAGACCAAATTCTACATTATGGTCTATTAATTGGCGCCGTATTTCAACTTATTGCAATATTCTCAATCGTCATTTTACCGTCTGCCGACGACGAGAAGGTAACTATACAAATATCAACAAGTTGCGATGGTTAAGATTTTCCTCAGACAACTACAACTTTCCAACTGCGGTTCCGTGACCGAAAATATTATCCTGACTTTCTTTTTTTTTGTTTACTGTTGGTCGGTCCCGTGCCGGCCAGTCACAAGAGTACAGTAGTACGTGGTGGGAGAAACATTAGCCATTAATTCCATGCATTGAACCATGGAAGGTATACCTACTATTACAATACCTTGCCCATGCTACTTTTTACAACTCGAATATAAATAAATTGACGTACATGTACTACCGGGTAGTAAACATATTTGTGCGTCATTTAAGCTCAGAGGACGTGAAAGATAAAATTGCTACAAAGTCTTACTAGTAGAAGCATAGATCTTTCTAATGTATATGGTGAAAGTAACCATCACAACCTGTGACAAACTGTTGTGATGATATTACTTCAAAATATACACCCGGAAATAATAATCAATTTGAAGTGGTTTGAATACATTTGATGGAATCTTCATTCCATGTAAATTTTCCTCAATTCTTGAAAAACGCACATATTCGTGGGTAATAAGCATTACCAATGGGATTTTTCTGACCAATGAAAAATTCTTCTAGAATTTGATTCAGGGTCAATGTCCATGGGTTTGACTACAGTGTTTCCAAACTGATGTTATGCCAATATTTATAAAATTTCTAGTAACTTAGTAAACCAGCTTCAGTGGTAATGAATATTTGAGACAAGATTATCTATCTCTTGTAATGCATCACAAACAGTGGAGCTATTTGAGAAGAATAAAGTTTAAGATAACTCTCTTTTTAAAAAAACTTTGTAGATTGAAGAAGACACAAATGTTAAATCAGCGGAAACAAAGCCTCTTAGTCCAAGTAAAAGATCTAAAAAAGAATCCAAGAAAAGAAGATGAGTTAATGATCTTGTGCTTGTAAAGTGTTTCTGTGTAAGTCTGTTTTTACTTATTAAATAACCAATTTGAACTAACATACAACAAACTGAAGAGGGCAGTGATGACAAGCTTGTGGGAATGAGTTTATGTACATACATGAACATGAATGTGATAATTTCCTAATCATAGTTTGATATCAGTAGACATAATTCATAACAATGGGAATATATTTACAACATTTGTACATGTATGGTCTGAAATTACAAGATGATACTGGTAACACTCACTGAAAACAAATTTATCAAAATTTAAAGGTATTTTTATTGCACACAGTTCTGCTCATTTGTGATATTTGCTTCCTAAATTTCAAGTGATTTTGGAGTGTTTAAATAATAATGATAATAAACTCATGAGGATTCCAATATGAAGTGGTTGTCATGCCCTGTAGTAAAGCTTAGAAAACTCTTGCATGCTTTTTTGAGATTTCTATTTTTATTCACATACATTTCTTTTTTCATTTCAGTAAGACTAGTTGCTTTTTCACCATGTAGCCGGCATGCCTTAGCTGATCCTCATCAATAAGTTGTGGATCCATCTATCAAGTGGTTTGCCAGATACAATGCAATAAATATAGAAATCATGATTCTTGATACCACAAGCAGTGTTGTTGTTATAGGATAGACTGCCTTACTCATAACTTCCATTTGTGGGTCTACAATTTTATATTGATGTTATTACCATAAGATCCTAGTACTTCCATTAATTTCATATTTGAAATAATTGCTTCAAAATATTAGATGATACTTAATACCTGTATTTTAGACTTATTTGATGTGGTGGTAAAGAGGGTTTATTGTACATCCATCAAGATGTTTACTTTTATGATACTGAAGTGAACTCATTTATATAAAATATATTTTAATATTCATTACTGGTTGTTGTTGTTTATTAGCTTCTATATTCTAGAAGCACAGAATGAAAGCATGAAGATTTGTATGTGTCTGTAATAATGTTCAGTTTGAAATGACATTCACAGCTGCTTTAATTAAATGATGCAAAAAAAACATAGAACCACAAATGAGAAATAAAATGTTTTAGAAAGGTTGTATCAGTTGCCTTTTAAAGGGTGAATAGGAGTCTGAGTTAAACAAAATGATAATTTACTGCAATTATTAAGAATGGAATTTGGACAGAAACATATTTTTAATATTATAACCGCAAAGAATGTACTTTCGCAATATTGTAATGCATTGACCTCCACAACACACCAGTCGATACGATCACCCTACTTCCTTTGTGCATATTTTGCAATGTTCTTGTAATAACCTTATTATTAAACATTTCCATGCTTGTAATAATAATTTATCAATTATGTATAACAGCCTGAAGAACATTTTTCACTGTACAAACATTTGCGTTTAATGGCAGGATTCAATTTCCATCGCATGCTGATAGTGCTTCTATGTCTGAAGTAAACAAGTAAGGAAAGTGTTTGAATACGATATAAACGTGATGCACATTTTCCAAATAAGGAAGACATTTGAACACTTTCAAACACATTCATACATATTTTTACAGAGGTAAATTCTATTGTTTTCAGTGTCAGACGTATAATGTTCAACACTCCATGTTGTAGACCAAACCGGATTATGATTTGTCATAAACTTAAAATAATGCTTTTGTAGCATCCACATAGGAGTATTGTTTTTTTTAAAGATGAAATATCAAAACCTAATGTGCATTGGGTTTTTGGTTAATTTTTCACACATTAATCACGAATTGGCTATTTCACAAATCCTCAACATTCAGCAAATTTCAATGATAACCTTACCTTGAAATCAATCCATATTATTTCACTTTGTGCTGAATTCAAATACTGAGAATAACAGCAATGCATTGTATATACCAGTAGTGGAAACTACAATTGTATTGGAAACTGACTAAATTACATGTATTTTTTTTTTTGTATTGATTTGTAGCAATGAAATTTTCATCCCACGTCTCTAAACCAAGTTGTCAGATATAAAAAAAAAAAATAATCATCACACAATGGAAACTAGTGTAAAGTGCAAGAGTTGACATTTTTGATAACTTTTTCCTGATGGCATGAACCAGTAATAAAAGTATAATAAACACTACATATATTCTATTTGGCTTGAACCTCCTTATAATCACATCGCACAATTTCCAGCACTTTTTCATTAAAAAAAATTAGATTTGTCAGATACACCCTGGGGGGGGGGGTTTACTGAAGTGCATTATTCATTGTGGGAGAGAATTGTGTATGAACAGCCCACATCTCGTAGATGCAAGAGCAAATCTAAATTTCAAGTTATGTTTTTAAAGGTGACACGGGGGGATTATAGGATGTTTTTATTAGCTCCGCTGTCGACTTTGTCGAGCGGAGCTTATCATATGAGTGATTGTCCGTCGTCGTCCGTGTCAATGTTTTACTTTTTCGACTTCTTCTTGAAAACTACAAGCCTGAATGCTTTGATACTTGGTGTATATGTACCTTGGGTAGACCTCTCTTAGGTTTGTTCATTTCATGTTGATATCTTCAATTCTCTAATTTTGGTGAATATTTTTGTCATTTTTGGTAAAAAGTGATATTTTTGACTTCTTGTTAAAAACCGCAAGTGCAATTACTTTGATATTACATATATAGGTACTACATGTGGACCTCTCTCAGATTTGTTCATTTTGTAATGATATCTTTAATTCTCTAATTTTGGTGATTATTTTTGTCATTTTGGGTAAAAAGTGATATTTTCGACTTCTTGTTAAAAATCAATAGTTCAATTGCTTTGATATTACATATATAGATACTACATGTAGACCTTTCTCAGATTTGTTCATTTTGTGATGATATCTTCAGTTCTCTAATTTTGGTGAATATTTTTGCCATTTTTGGTAAAAAGTGATATTTTCGACTTCTTGTTGAAAACTGTAAGTCCGATTGCTTTGATATTACATATATAGGTACTACATGTGGAACTCTCTCAGATTTGTTCATTTTGTGATGATATCTTCAATTCTCTAATTAATTTATTTTGGTGAATATTTTTGTAATTTTTGGTAAAAAGTGATATTTTCGACTTCTTGTTAAAAACTGTAAGTCCGATTGCTTTGATACTATTCATATTGTTCATTTTCTAATGATGTCTTCAGTTCTTTAATTGAAATGTGCATTGCTAACAGCGGAGCTATCTCAGCCGATAGGCTGCTTGTTTTAATTTTAATCTATGACCAGTATTAAAGTAAATTTGCTGCGACATTAAGCTTAACTGAAGATTAAAATTGCTGTGTGGTGTATTATCATTTCATAGGCACCTGTATTAGTCTTGTATATTGGGGCTGGAATGAGAAAGCAGTACAACTTTCAAAACAGACCACAAACTGACGTTTTATTTGAAATGATGCAGCAGTTATTTACATGTGTACACAATACTGATTCAATGTTTATTGTAAAACAACAAATGAAAACATCAATTGTGCGAGGCAAGATGAAAAATATAACATTAATTTACATATCA